TCTCTCTCTCTCTCTCTCTCTGGAGCTTGTTTTTCTAACCTTGTTTTCCCATAACTTTAATTTCTGTTGTAGGCGGAATTTGTAGTTTCTGCAAGTTATGGGCATTATTGCGTCATCATAATTTGTCGCGCGTGTCTGCTCCGTGTTTTCATATATCGTCTATTTTCAAACAGGAAGTAGTTCTCACACGCATGGACAAGAATGCAACAAATAGAGAAATTGCCACAGTCATTGGCACTGAAATCGGCCCCGTTGATCCTATAGAAGTGTGGCAGAAGCGTAGGCCCTAACTCGTAATGTTCAACATCAAAATTGAGCGTATGAAAAAGGACATTGCCATTTTTTGGGACAAATGTTTCAAACGTGCTTCACGGAAGTGTCGACGAGAAATAGTCCCTGCTTTATATCGATACAGAGGGCTTCTGATTGCTCTCATCGCCTATTACTTGTTGCTTTCAGACCGATTTGACCAATTTCTGCAAGGTACGAACTTATTTACAGGTCTTTTTTTTTTCTTAGATCTAGATGTCCGTGAATGATTGAATCCAGATACAAAACTTGGCAATCGAGGAACCTACAAAATGTTCTTAAAACCAAAGTAGTATAAAATCGTAGTGGACAGAAGTTGTAAAAAGCACTGAAAAACATTGGTAAGTTAAAAAGTATTCTAAAAAAAGTAGCTTTTTTCTGTATTGAACCCATCTCTCATAGAGGCATAAATTAATAATTTATGCTTTTTGGTGTGATATAAACGAATTTGACCTTTAAAATCCACTTATATGTGATAAAATATATTAGGCTGAATGCTATAATTTATTATCATTATTTCTATTTATTATTATTCGTAAACTTTTAAGTAAAGAAGTACTGTCTATCGACGAAAAACAAGACGCAAAAACTTCCTTATGAACCACCATCATTGTGTAAACACTTGTGCTCATACACAATGTCAAACATTAATGTCAGTAGCTGTTTATTATGCTGTTGGCGATGTCAGGGCTCAGCTCACGGCGTGTGTCGCTTCGTCTCCGGCCAAGGAGGACCGTACTCCGGGAGGCGGTGCAGAGCAGGTACCATGAGGAGTACATCACGGATCAGCGCACAGGTGAGTACATTCAAGCTCATTAAGATATGCAGTTGTGAGCTCCGTATAACACTTACCAATACAACAACAGCAACAACAAGAAAAACAACCACTCCCCCCAAAAAAACACCAACAACGAACCCCCCCACCTCAGATGAGGACTGCCGTACGCAGACAGAACGTCCTTTTTCGTATCTAAATTTAATATTAGTCACAGCAGTTTCGAGAAATCAACGATTTATGGTTCTCTTATAATATCTATTGAACATAGGGAATGGCAATCTTATCATGTTCCGAGTTCAACCGTTGATGTACTAGTTTAGATATTATGCAAGAATGCCGAGAATCCTTGATTTCTGGAAACTGCTGTGAATAAAAAAGAGACGTTTTGTCAGTGTACAGCAGATTAGTCTGTTAGTGAGAGCTGAAGAAAATGAAAGTAAGTTTGAATCTTGTACTCCTGTTCCACTCTCAACAATACGATGCGTTCCTCACATTTCATTTTTTAAAAATCAGGCGTTTACGCAACATAATTTAGAACAATATGGAGGCGGGCTTCTGACCATGCTTGTCAGGGTCAACACAGGCTCAGAGGTATACAAATTGGAATATTTCAGCTGAAAGACCGATACACTCGATAACAATTTTTCTTTATCGGGTAACCGAACTTGGGTCTCCTGCGTGCGGCAGCGAATCGCCTAACTGTTACACAACAGATGGCGGTCGGGTGAGTTGTCTGTAAGTGAAATCTTAACAAAATGAAAGAAGTTTGAATGATGTACCACCTTCCACTCTTCACAGTACCATGCGTTCCTCCGGCTTCAAGTAAAACTCACTGTGAGTCAGAGCTCATTTGTCATTATTAAAATTTGAATACTTTTTCTGAATTGTAACCTAGCTGAATTTGCCAAGTTTTTTGGTGGTTAAAACTGAGAAAATGATATTTTTGAGTCAGAATCTCATACGATTCTAATAACTCCCTAAGTGCGACGTTTTACTCGACGGGTATCGTCTCTTGTTTGCTTGGCGTTCGACAATAAGAATGAGACAACGCAGGATAACATGATTTTGCCCACAAACGACTATTCCAGTCTCTTATGCTTATAATATGGTTGCTCAAGAATGTGAGCGCTTATTTTTATGAAAACATGGTGAATAGTTGGGATGAATCAATATTATTGCACACAAGTTGCGGACTATCGCCATCATTAAAATTTTCACCCTGGATGTATAGGTCACAAAGACTTTCCACCTTTCTCTATCCTGGGATAGTTTCTTGACGATATTCCACGTCTTTCCCCTTTTCTGTACTTCATTCTCTTCTACTCTTCTCCGGTTCCATGTGGTCTTCTCCTTGATCTCTTACCATGTGGATTCCAGTCCAACACTTTCTTTGTAAGGAAAAAGTGTGGATATTGGTTTTCAAAAAAGAAAGCGAGGCACAACATGGAGATTCATATTATTGTATCTGTCGAGACTTTTTTACTTTGAGAGAGAGAGAGCGAGAGAGAGAGAGAGAGAGAGAGAGAGAGAGAGAGAGAGAGAGAGAGAGAGTATTATAACAATATAACTTGTTCTCTTTCGTCTGTTCGCGTTACAAATCCTATTTACCAAGGTCACTACAACTATGTATGTCATTTGTCCAGCCTTCTTGAAGAACGCCCCTGGCTGTCACGAGGATAAGGCAGGGGCCAACATGTCTCAGAGTACGGTGCACCACGCCCTCTTCTTGGTGTGTACGGCCGTGCCCAATGTGGAGAACCGGCAACACATGAGGGAGATTTATGGAAACCTGGCCAACACCAGGCCGTATCGGATCAGAGTGAGTGGCTGGCAGCTGCTCGGCGTCGTACGTTTGTGTTTCTTTGTGTCTTTGTGTGTGTTTTTTTAAAATGTAAGTGTTTTAGCGCCTCAAAGGACAACATTTAGATCGTTTAGGAGGTAGCCAACAAGAGCTGAGAGGGATACAGCTTCCCAGCAGAAAGAGACACTTGATAAGAATTCTCCCCACAGAGGAAATAACTCGGGCGTCTGGCTTGCGACAACGAAGAGCCACTCCGCTACATCACAGGGTGCGGTGGCGGAGCGGTTCGGTGGCGGAGCGGTTAGTCCGCTCGTCCCCGGGGCGGAAAGTCCGGGTTCGGGCCTCGGTCCGGACACTTATTTTTTTCGCCCCCTTCTGCCCACCCAGCAGTCATAGGTACCTGACTTCGAGTTGGGGAAGTAAAGGCGGCGTGGAAAGGAACTGACCACCCAACCACAATATGCCGAAGGCCCAGGAAGTTGTCTCATTAACAAGGCAATCCCCAATGTCCGGATCGGAGGCGGGAAGAACTTTTATGCAATATGATGAAATACTCTTTTGGCCTGAGGTCAAGGAAAACCAAAGGCGGTATGGATGAAATGGTCATGATTGAAGTCCGGGAAGGGATAACGGTCAAAGCGAAATGGGGTTTAGAAGAAATCTTCACTACGATTCT